ACAGGAGCGAAAGTCTCCTCAAAATCGATACCTTCCTGCTGATTGTAGCCTTTAACAACCAATCTTTCCTTGTTCCTTACAATTGTGCCATGTTCATCTAGCTTATTCCTGTATACCCATTTGAGACCAATAACCTTTTGATTCTTTGGTTTAGGTTCAAGGTGCCACACTTTGTTTCTTTCGAATTCATTTAATTCCTCTTGCATGGCAACAATCCAATCAGCATGTTCCAAGGCTTCTTTGTGATTTTGAGGTTCCAGTGTTGATAGGAAGGCGTTGGATGCACAAAAGTTTCTCAGTTGGGATCTCGTCTGAGTTCCCTTGCTTAGGTCACTTATAATTTTATCCAGGGGGTGTGACCTTTGATGTTTCCATGGCTTTGGTTGGAATGATTGAGCTGGTATAAAAGTGTTATTTTGAGTTTCTCTTTCTTCCATTTCTTCATGGTGTTCTGCTTCTGCATTTGCTTCGCCTTCTGTGTTTTCTGTTTCTTCTGTATTTTGAACAGAGGCTTCAGTATTATTTGGAACTTCAGTAGGTTCCTTATCAGTATTTTCAGTAATTCGAACAGGCTGCTTTCTGGGAATTAATTCTTCATCTTGGTCTGTTGAACGAGTGAGACCAATTTCAAAATCCCCATCTTCATATTCCTGTATACAATCATAATTATTAGTTTCATCAAAAATCACATGTATACTTTCTTCTACACACATAGTCCTCTTATTGTAAACTCTATAAGCTTTACTATTAGATGCATATCCTAAAAAGACTGCTTCATCGCTCCTTTCATCAAATTTTCCAAGATTTCTTTTATCATTATTGTGAACAAAGCATTTGCATCCAAAGGCTCTTAAATGAGCAATATTAGGTTTTCTCCCTTTTAACAGTTCATAAGGTGTCTTATCCAACATTGGTCTGAGCATGGCTCGGTTGATGATATAGCATGCTGTGTTGACGGCTTCTGCCCAAAAATTCCTTGGAAGCTCACTTGCTATTAGCATTGTTCTTGCCATGTCTTCCAATGTTCGGTTCTTCCTCTCAACCACACCATTTTGTTGTGGTGTTCTTGGCGCTGAGAAATTGTGACTTATTCCCTGTTCCCTGCAAAATTCATCAAACTTGGAATTTTCGAATTCCGTACCATGGTCAGTTCTCATATGAATAAGTTGATTACCTATTGATTTTTGTGTCTTTTTCAAGAAAGTCATAAACATATCAAAAGTTTCATCTTTACTATGTAAGAATATGACCCATGTAAATCTAGAATAATCATCCACAAGAACTAAGACATATCTTTTTCCACTTCTACTTTGAATTCTAACGAGGCCACACAAATCCATATGAATGAGTTCCAATGGTTTTGTGGTGCTTACCATTTTCTTTGATTTAAACGATGATCGAACATGCTTTCCTTTGATGCAGGCTTCACAAATTTTGTCATTTAGGAACTTGATAGAAGGTAGTCCGATTACCAAGTCCTTTGACCTTAATTTGTCAAGCAATGAAAGACTAGCATGTCCAAAACGTTTATGCCATAGAAGTGGATCATCCTCAATAACACTTAAACAAGATAGATTGTACTTTGAAACTTTGTTAAGGTCCACGGTATACGTGTTCCCTTTACGAGTTCCTTCCAAAACGATTTTTCCACTGTCATTGTTGATGATTTTGCATTTTTCAGAAGAAAAGCTTACAGAGTTTCCTTTATCACAAAACTGAGAAATACTGAGTAGATTATGCTTCAAACCCTCGACTAAAAATACATTGTTAATTGCATGGGAACTTGACCTTCCTACTTTGCCAACAGCAACAATGTTGCCTTTCTTATTGTCTCCAAAGGTCACTGTTCCCCCTGTATAGGCCGTCAGTGAGAAAAATCTGGATTCATCTCCTGTCATGTGCTTAGAAAAACCGCTATCGAGGTACCACTGGTTGTTCCCCCTCACTGCGACCTGCAAAAGAAATTAAGGGTTAGTAGCAGGAACCCTTTCATTCATGGGTTCCTGTGCTGACACATTTGAATCAGTTTTCTTCTGCCAAACATAGTTCACATTCTTATTGTACTGATTTGCTTTCTTAGTACATTCTTCACTGCGATGTTCCTTTTTACCACAAAAGAACAAACGGTCTCACTAGGTAAATTCACATACTTCTTTTTCTTTCCAGTGGACTTCTTCTTATGAACATAGCCTAGACCTTCTGTTCTTTTTGTCTGAGCTTCCTGTACCCACTTAGGAACACCCGTGCTTGCTGTACTTCTACTTTTTCTTGCAATTTCTAGGTCCTTTTCTAATTTTTCTTTTTTATCATTTGTATCCTTTAACTCTTTCTTAACATGCTCTAGTTCAGTATTGAACATTATTAAAGGAACTTCAGTAGACCTGCAAGAATCAATGTTAGTACACAACATTTTATATTGAGTCAATTCAACATTCAGCATGATATTCTCACTCTTGACTCTTTCAAGGGATTCTTTTAGCATGATATTTTTATCTAATAATTCAAAGAATCTGCCTTGAACATCATTTCTTAAGTTATTCAGATACTTAACATGATCTCTACAAATTCCAGTTGCCTTTTCGGCTTGCCTTAGTTTTGCACATAATTCTTTATATTCATCTAAGGTTTCTAACAATAAAGAGATTAACTTATCCTTTGAGAAAGATTTCAAATAACTAGGTTGAATGACTACCTCATCATCATGCTTTGCCATTAGACAGAGATTGGCTACTTCATCGTCTGTGTGTTCCTGTTCCTCTTCTTCGGAACTTGATTCTCCCCACGTGGAAATCATTGTTTTCCTGAAATTTGTTTTAGAAAAGTTAGGCTTGGAGTTTCTGTTTTGATCAGCTTCTTTTCCCTTGCCTTTCTCAGATTCCCATAATGGACACTCTTTGATGAAGTGGTTTGTGCTTCCACATTTGTGACAAGAAGACTTGGCTTTGGATTCCTGATTTCTTTTACTGTATCCTTTCTTCTTGTCTAAAAACTTGTTGTTACGGTAGAATTTTTTCAGCCTTCTCACCAACATTGCAGCTTCTTCTTCATCAATGTCAGACTTCTCTTCGGATTCTTCATTAGCTTTTAGTGCTAGCCCTTGACTTTTGACAGTCTCCTGAGTCCGGTTGTTTAACTGGATCTCGTGGGTAATGAGGGAACCCGCAAGCTGTTCCAGATTGAACTTGGTGAAGTCTTTTGATTCCTGCACAGCTGCAACCTTTGTTCTCCATCTGTCATTGTCTGGAAGACTTCTTAAGACCTTTCTGACCTACTCATCTATAGGAATAATCTTACCAAGACACGTTAGTTCGTTAGTAATACTTTTAAATCGAGTAAACATGTCTTTAATGGATTCTTTGTTTCCCATTTCAAAGCGCTCATACTGAGACAAAAGAATGTCTATTTTGGAACGTTTAACATCTGACGTTCCTTCATGTGTAACTTCCAGAAGATCCCAAATTTCCTTTGCGGATTTGCACCCTTTGATACGAGTATGTTCATCGGGTCCAAGTCCCCAAATTAAAAACTTTTTAGCAGTAGCATTCATTTCTAGTTTTTCGAAATCAGTTTTTTCATATTCATCCATAGGTTTAGGGATTACCTCATTGTTAGCATTCGTTTTCGTAATTTCGTAATCTCCTACTTGTATAATCTGCCATACCTGATAGTTCTCTGCTTGGATAAAGATTTCCATCTTATCCTTCCAATAAGGATAATATTTGTCGTTGAAGTATGGAGGCCTTTGAATGGATGTACTCCCGAATTCCTTTTCCTCTGTGTAAGCCATTTTCCCAGGAACTTACTCAACAGGGTTGCCTGCGTGCTCTGAGTTCCCGCTCTGATACCAACTGAAAGTCTAACCGACTAATACAAGAGGGGGGGTGAATTGTATTTGAGGTGAAATCTAAAAACTTTTGCGGAATTTAACTAAATGAAATAATGACGAGAGAAGATATAGGCTTTTCTAAATTTCCACTATGTAATCAAACTCTTTACAAGTGAAGATTCAAACCCGTTAACAAGTTCCACAAATTAGGAACTTGTTCCCAACTCTCACAGAAGCCTTCAGCAGCGAAGCTTCCTTGACCTCACCTTACACAAACTCACAATCCCAAACCCCAAAGTGCTTGAATACAATCTGTAATTACAAATACCTATTGCACTCAAGAATATAAGAAGGAAAATAACTCTCTTTATGTTAGTAGGTTGCTACTGGAATTTTTATGCTCAAGAGTTGTGTTTTGCTGAGATAGTTTGCATGAGTATTTATAGAGAAGGCTTAGTCATTAACCTCCACTATAATCACGTCCACATGCCAACACCCCACTAACAACTTGTGGAGTTAACTTGACAGATGATGATCATGAAGGAGGTTTCCTAGCCTTATCTCACTAATCCACTATCTCAACAACTTGATAAACATTAGCTTTGATAAAACCGTATAATCAGAGATTTTCACAACAAAGAAAACTGCTTGTTAACTTTATCAAAAGTTTGTTTAAAAAGATTTTATTTTAAAAAGGATTTTATTTGAATAGATAAATTAATTATTTATATTAAAACAACTAGATAATTATCTTAGATAATTATCTTTATTCGAAATTAGATGACTAGATAAAACTTTTATAAATTATCTTTTTCCTTAAGAAACTAACTTTTATTCCAGTAGTCTTTTTAATAATATAAGTCATTGAGTTCCTTTCCGACTTTATATTATTGAGTGCTCACAATTAAAACTAGAACGTGAGATTTGCACGAGGCTTTTTAGAGAATGCTACTCCGCATCCAAGTTCCTACTCCGGAACGAACTTTGCTTGAACCCTTTATTCACCAAAGACTCAAAACATTCATTAGTCGAGTTTGTCAATTTGTCCATCAAAACCAAAAGGCTCAACAGTGATGGTAGCTTCTACGCCCTTAATTGGGCTCTTGCTAATCTTCTTAAACCCAACACAACAACTACTACCACTACTGCTACGCCGATTGAAGATGAAGGTTGCATGGTTTATTTGGTTCATGTTCAACACCCTTTCAACAACTATGTCTACCCTGCCGGTGCCGGTTTACACACTGGTATGGACGTATGGTATTACTGTCATCTTCTTTTTATTTGATGCTACTATTGGATCATTGTTTGGTTCTTACTAACTAATCTCTTTGGGTTTGTCATTCCTTCATTTTTGCCTTTTTGTTGTACCCCTTTTGTTTAGATGAATCGCAATACTTTGACTTTTATGTCTAATACTACACAACTTTGACTATTAACTTATTTCAATTCATAATCTAGTAATTGGACTATATTTTACCTAATTACTTTGTATTTTATATATTAGTAAAAAATATTTGGTCAAAGACAGTATGTGTGTATAATATAACAAGAAATTTAACTAATGCTACCTCGTTATCCAAAAATCTATGTTAAAAAGTAGTTCATGAAAGTGATGATTATGAGTACATCTTATCAACGCAAATTTAGCATAGCGATATATATCGTCATTTGATTTAAATTTGTTCTTATATCACTTAATTGACAAGTATATTGGTGTCTCTAATTAAAATTTGAGAGTTGTTGCATGTGTTGATCGAAAAGATCGAGCTATTGACTCAGACTACGCTTGGGGACACAAAGAAAAGTCAACAAACATAGAAATCAAGAATCAGAATGATAAAAGTATGTAAGCCCAACAACGTAATTAGAGATCATTAATCAGTTGCATTTAGATTATTAGGTTGATGGTGTGTAAGTTGATTGCTTGAATTTATAGATTTAAGAAAAAATTCAAGGTTAAGCATTTCCTAACTTTAATTAGGAATATATAATACTCTTTTTGTCCCATATTAAGCTTGACTTTGCATGAGCTACGAGACATGAATTTGACTATTAATATCTTTGGCCTCGCGTAAGAATAATTCTTTCTAATATTCTTAACTAGCTAGCCTTCATTTAAAGCTATGAGAATTTGAAGATTGCTCGACCAAAAATTGTTAGTATTAAAAATGTCTCCTTATGCTAACTACAAGCCTACAAGGTCATAGTAGTCTTAAAACTCTTACTTTGGAGAATTCAATTTTACTTGGTCACTTTAGACGTGTAGTGTAAATTATGAGAAACCGTAACTAATTATACATTATTTTGCAAGTAAGCAAAGGTCTATGAATATAATGAAATCATTATCACATAATTAATACATATGCTAACTTTGTTCTTTTGGCCTGGATTCATGTAAATTAGCTGCTTTTGCTGCATCATCTGTGGTAGAATCTGTAAAGAAAGCACAAGCAGAGGTTTCAGCGAAAATCCTTCAACGTGCAATCTCAATTTGCAAGCAAAATATGGTAAAATTCCCAGCACTTTACTTTTTACCATCCACAATATAATGATGTAATAATCCTCTTTGTTGTGTACGTAGGTTCGAGCTGAAACTTTAATTTTTCAAGGAGATTCCAAAGACGAGATCTGCAAAGCAGCAGAACAAACACATGTTGATATGCTAATCATTGGCAGTCGTGGTCTAGGTGGAATTAAAAGGAAATCAATGAATTTTCTCATGGTGTATCATATTAAGTTCCTATAACTAATTTTACATTAAATTATTCACAATAATTTATGTTCGTCTAAGTAATGCATACATAAACCTACCTCGAACGATGATTGATTTAATTTGTACCAAAAAGGCCAAGTGTACATGTTTCTGTGCAAAAATGAAATAAAGTAGAATGGGTTGAACAAAAGAATGAAGCTGATAAGAGTCATATTACGTATGATTAAAATTGTTACACGATTACATGACGAAGGTTAATGGGTATGATTAAAATTGTTACACGATTACATGACGAAGGACAATGGTTAAATTTGTTACACGATTAAAATGGGTTGAATTAAAAGTCGACTTTTTAGCTCTCAAAACTAATAGAATACAATTGACAATAAGTTTTCTTATAATTCTTTTTGTTTTGATGATGCACAGAGCATTTCTTGGAAGTGTTAGTGACTATTGTGCACACCACGCTTGTTGCCCAGTCTTGATTGTGAAACCACCGAAGCATATCAAGTAATGATGAGACGAAGAATAAAATGTTTAGTAAACTAGTAGTACCGACTCCCAATTAAGTATATATCAGATGACACTGATATGGCGAAATTAATAGCTTGTAATTGTTATGTTACGTTAGTTTGTTTCTCCTAAATGTCGAGACTCCAGGCTATATGGGTATAACAAAATTAGGTAATACGTACATACGATGAAAAAAACAGCGCATGTAATAATATTTTACAGAACATTAAGTATGGAGCAAGGCGTGCATTATGGTGTTATGAAGGTTTGTTGTAAATATGGTGTTATGAAGGTTTGTTGTAAACTACGAAAGTAGGTTCTTTCATACTCCGTCGTTTGTTGTAAACTATGAAATAGTTTTTTCATATTTCATACTACGTATGTCTTTATATGATTTGGTTCCTAAATTAGTGGTATTAGTTTTAGGAGATAATTTGGTAGTTGCATTGTCATGCATTATTATCTATATACAGAAATCAATTGCCAAAGTTGGCACCCCAATTTGTGAATTACATACTAAGCTATGACTATGAGTGATGTCTCATTAGTATCATCCGAAAGTACAGTTGTACTTGTATATAGTGGTCTGATTTAGTGCATTCATTTTAACATAATTTAATTTGATTATTTGAGCTTATCTTTTCTGATATGATGTGAATATGTGATTCATGATTTCATCATTTGCAATTTGCAAGGTGTGGGATAAATCACGAGTTTCTTCCTTTATGACATGTGTTGGGTCACTTTATGTCATGTGTAATCTCGTGTAGGTTTTTTCCATGAACTGCCCATTGATTTCCTAGAATTTACTTTAATTGTTTAATTGTATTATACCCCCTTGTTTTCATTATTTCTTCTTAATTAAGATTCAATTCCTACTATAAATTTTTTATGTTAAGTACCATATGATTAAACAGCCAAGCATCGGCTTAGGCTCTAATTTGGTCTAAATTTATATTATCGTTCTAAATTAATTGACACATTTTTTCTTTTGGTTCATTTTTAAGAATATATAATCATGTGGAATATTATTGTTAAATATGACATTTCTAGTTGTTTATTTTTTAAATATCAATTTTTTTTTATGCTTTTTCCATTCTTTTAAATTTTCAGTTAATTCATGAAATGCCACTGAGCAATTGCAAAATTCACCAAATGCCATCCGACTTTTCAAAATTCACCAAATACCACCGAGTTTTAACAAAATTCACCAAATTATATTACTATATTTAATCTTATGTACTGTATTGAGTAAAAACGTAGGGAGTATGAAACAAAAACAGTAAGTGTAGGTACGTAGCAGTTTAGCACATAGCAGGAGTCTCGAATGTGGTACACGTGTTAGGAGTAGGGCCATTTGCATGAGCTGCCCATTGTATTTCCCTGAATACTATGTTCTCTTAACTCGTCTTCCCTTGTATACAGCCCTATATCAATCCAACCAAAACAATTTGTCTTAATCCACTTTCCAAATAATTACTCTCAAAAAATTAAAAAATAATTCTAAATAATAAAAACATACAGAAGAAAAAAAAAGGAAAGAAAAAATGAAGGTGATGATAGCACTTGATGAAAGTAAAGGGAGTTTTTACGCTCTAAACTGGGTTTTGTCCAATGTTTTAAAGCCTGTTATTTCAACTGAAACAAATGATAATGAAGAAAGGGAGAATTTGGTGTACTTGGTTCATGTCAACCTTCCTTTCCAAACTTATGTCTATCCTGCCGGACCTGGTTCGTCTATTCTATCTTCTTTCTGTTTTTTTTTTTAAAAATCTCATAATAATGATATAAGATGCGAAATTAGAGGCTATTTTAAGATTGTTTCAAGTATGGAGTACTACTATATTTTCATGATATCAACTTCCTTACAAATGATATAAATTTTTATATTATTTTTGGTTGTTGGTTTAATAATTTGTTCATATAGTACTCCTCCGTCCCATAATACTTGGGACGTTGGGGTGGGACACGTAATTTAAGAAAATTACAAGTGGTTCAATTTAAAATATTTGTTTATTATATAAAAGATTCTATTTTGTAATTTTATATTGTAAGAAAAGAAAAAGTGGGGGAGGTGGAGCTAGTGAGGAGAGAGAGAATATGTAGGATTTAACTAGGTTTTCATTTGGAGTTTGTGATCCCAAAGAGAGTATAGGAAAAAAAATTATTAGTGGTTTCAATCCATATTTAGTAACGTATCAAGTATTTTGGGAATGACAAAAATGGTAACTAAACCTGGACACGGGCCGGGTTGGCCCGCGTGCCGCCCAGCACGGCCCGCCGTTCGGCGTAGCCCGACACGGCCCGAAGTCAAGCACGGCACGGCACGAAGTTCAACTTCCGTGCCACGGGCCGTGCCACGGACAGGGTTGAGAATTCCCAGGCACGGCCCGGCACGAGCACGGGCATGGCCCGCCGCGCTGGCCCGCAGGCACGGCCCGCGGGCCAACGGTAATATTACCGTTTCATGTAGCTAGAAGCCAAAAAAACGGCTATAAAACGGCTAGTTTTTTGCCAATTTGCTCCCCAAAAATTCTATAAATACTCACCTCCATTTCATTCCCAAATCACAAAATCACAATCTCTTCTTCTTATCTCTTATATTCTCTAAATCTCTAATAATCCTTATTTTCTTAAATTCTCTAATTATTCTCTTAAATTCTCTAATTATTTTCCTAATATCGGAAAAAATTAAAAAGTTCGTAATCGTAATTAGTGGAGCGTTGAAGCACGGTTGTAAGATCTAAACTAATCTTAAATTTATTTATTGTTTTATTGTTATTATTAGAATAATCTTGTTTAATTATTATTGTTGTTAATTGTTATTGTTGTTGTTATAATTGTTGTTATTAATTATTTTATTATTGTTACAATTGTTGTTATTATTTATTTTTGTTGTTATTGTTATTGTTATAGTTGTTGTTATTAATTAATATTATTGATATTTTTATTGTTAAAATTGTTGTTATTAATTATTATTATTATAGTTAACCATTTTTTATTAAAAAATTAATTGTTAATTATGGCATCGAACAACCCATCATCTAGGTCTAGGGGGAAAGGCCGACTTATCCGTAGTAGTAGTTCTAGGGAACCACCAAATACAACGAGCCCCCAAATTACGAGTCAAACCAATGACCCCATTTACTTCCCCCCGGGCTATGAGCCATATAATACGTCGGGATTTCCAGCACCACCACTAAACCAATTTCCACTACCACGATACCAATTTCCACCTAATTATATCGGTAATCAACAAAACTATTGTTCTAGCCAAGGTAGCCAAGAAAGTACCCGAATTCCCTCCGGTTCTACCCCTTCTACTGCCACTCCCACTAGTCCCACTACTAACCATCACACACATCATGAATGGTTAACCGAAACTGAGATGCTACTTTTGAAAAACCGAAGGAGTGAGGTATGGCGTTATTTTGTCCTAAGTAAAGATGGTGAACAATGGGCAAAATGTAAAACATGTAATAGTGTATTCACGGCAGTTACCAAAAACGGGACGGGACACTTATCTAGACACATGAAAGCTTGTGCAAAACCAGCTAGTGATCCAACCCAGCCCAAAATTTCCCAATTCCATCCATACGGCTTTACATACAACTATGAGAGGGATAGGGATGAACTAGGAAAAATGATAGTACACGCCGAACAACCTTTTCTTTTCTCGGAAAGTGACGCATTCAACACCTACATTAACAAAGCACTACAACCCCAACATAAAAGAATCTCTAGGAAAACCGTTCGTTCCGCCGCAATGAAAAATTTCCTAGAGTACAAAGTCCGGTTACAAGCCGAATTGAGTAACCTTAACTGTAGAGTATCTTTAACAGCCGATTCTTGGGATAGTGGTTATAAATATCACTATTTATGTGTGACTTGCCATTGGGTAGATGATCAATGGATGTTACAAAAAAGAATAATACATTTCAAAATGCTGGAATACCCACACATCGGCATTAACATTGCTCACCATTTAATGCAAGCAATAGACGAATACAACCTTCGAGATAAAATGATGTCTATGACTTTTGATAATGCAACCTCTATGACATACACAGCTAATCTTATCAAACAAAACTTAACCGATGTACTATTAGACGGTGAAGCTCTTCATACTAGATGTGTTTGCCATGTACTTAACTTATGTGTACAGGATGGAGTTCGGGCAATTGTCCCATACTACAGCAAAATCAGAGATGCTATTATGTCTATTAATAGCTCTAACATGAGATACCAAGAATGGAAGAGTTTTCTAAAACAACAAAAGATAAGGGTAATAAAAATTAGAACCGATTGCCCAACTAGGTGGAATTCCACCTATGACATGTTAACAAAGGCAATTGAGTATAAGGGCCCGTTAACATTATTTTACAACCAAAAATTTCCACAAAATGCTTTGTATGATGATGATTGGAAAAACTTTGAACGATATATGCAATTTTTACAGTTATTATATAACATGACGTATTGTTTTTCTACTGTTTACAATCCTTGTGCTCAAAACTTTCTTTCTAATGCATGCTTACTCGCCCAACTTTTCGCTGATCATCGCGATCAAAGTGATTATGATCAGTATCTTCCAGCAAAGGAAAAAAGTGGCGTAAATATTATAGTGAGATTCCTTTGATTTATATTTTTGCTTCCATATTAGATCCTAGGCAAAAGTATGAAAACACATTTATGTTAGTTGACATTTACTTTCAATGCATGTTTCTTGACGATGATGTAGAAAACTATAAGACTAATGTGAAGGATCAGTTTTTTGCTTTATATAGAGTCTATGAAGCCAAATATGGCACCGTTCCTCGCTCAGGGCCTTCCCAACCATCCAAAAACGTAAGTAAGAAGGCCAAACATTTATTTTCACAAGCTACTAACTTGATTTCAAGGTTTTCAGGTGATTAATCAATCAGGAGAACGCAAAGCGACGTCTCGGAGTTGCAGATGTACCTGAGTTACGACTTCACCAAAGGCATGGACGACGATGAGATAAACAGCCTCGACCTCCTTGCATGGTGGAAACAACAAAGCTCGAAGCATCCAACTTTGGCGGCAATGGCACGAGACATTCTTGCTATCCAAGTTTCCTCCGTTGCCTCCGAACGAGCTTTTAGCGCATCCGGAAGGGTTTTAGACGATAGAAGAACAAGTCTAAAACCCGAAACACTAGAAATGTGCGTGTGTTTCAAATATTGGTTGGATGCGGAAAATCGCTCACAAGACCGTTCTTACGACCACAACGACAACGAAGAAGGAACCTCCGCTTCCGGTTCGGGTTCGACTAGTTCCCAATCTATGCAACTAGCCGATGACCTTGAAGGCGAAGGTGAAGACGAAGACGAAGACGAATACGAGCAAGAAGAAGGAGAAGAAGAATAGACAATTATTGTATATTGTACGATTTTAAAAATATCAATTTTATCATTTTTCAATTTTTGTTTAATACCATCATTGTATGATTTTTATCATTGTTATCATTGTACAATTTTCTCAACTCAAGTAATAATAATATAAAGTACGCATTATTCACATCAAAAGTCCAATTTGCCTTTTTTCCCCGTTTTGTTACAATTTGTAAATTCATATTAAAAAAAATAAAATTATACTAATTACTAATAAATCATAAACATTAAATTTTAAAGTAATAGTATAAAGTAAATATATAAATATAAATATTGAATATACAAATTATAAAACATAAATATTCAACTTATAATTATAATTCATAACTTAATAACTTATAAGTTATAAACTTATAAGTTACCTTATAAAACTTATAATTATAATTTTATAACTTATATACATTATAAACTTATTAATTTATAATGTTGTCATAAAAAAAATAAAAAAAAAATAAAAAAAATTGAAAACTGCACCAGCCCGCAGGCCGGCACGTGGCCGGCACGGCACGAGCCCGCCAGGCACGAGGGCCGTGCCGTGCCGTGGGCTGGCCTGTGAAAATGGCCGGCACGGCACGGCACGAAATCCTGGGCCCGCCGGCACGACCGGCACGGCACGAACCAGCCCGTGGCCCGCCAAGCACGGCCCGCGGCGGCCCGGCACGGCACGGTGCCCAGGATTAATGGTAACTATGTCCAATATTATGGGAATGAGGAAAACTTAAAACACCTTGACCATGAAAATTTTATGTGGGGTCGTTATTATAATTGCATTGACGTGGGATTTAAATTAGGTTTTTTTTTTACTTTTACCAAAAAAAATAAAAAATTATTTTTTACCACCAAAATTTCTAAAACTTTTATTTACCACCAAAACAAATTCTAAAAATTATTTTTTTTATCACCTGCCGTCAAAAATTTGGTAAATCAACGGAATTTTTTTAATTTTTCGATTTTCGTGCCAAAAACATGTTCTTCAGGGGTTTTAGGGGCATTTTGGCCCTATAGATCCAATTTGAGGTCAGAATTGAAAAATAAACTTTTCATGAATGACTCGTTTTTCCTACTAAAAAAATACCTCAATTTACGTGGAACACGCAAAATGAAGCATTTTTGATATTTTTTGTCAATTCTGACCTCAAATTGGTTCCATAGGACCAAAATGCCCACCTAAACCTATAAAGAACATGTTTTGCGCACGAAAATCGAAGATTTTTTTAGCACCGTTAGATTTAATGGTTTTCTTGACGGTAGGTGGTAAAAAATAATTTTTAGAAATTATTTTGGTGGTAAATTAAAAGTTTTGGTGGTAAAAAACACTTTTTGTTTTTTTTTTTTTTTGTAAAAGTCAAATAAATCCTTTAAATTATTTCGACCTGCCAAATTTGACCCATATTTGATTGTCACATCCGAAATATCTGACCCCAAAATGACCTGAAATTCGAAATGACCCAATCTAAAACCTCCCACTTGACCCAAAGTGGAGTTAACCCACTATTGCCTCGAAACCCGCAGTGACCTAACTTGATTTTGCCTGACCTTAAAATTATCTGAAACCCGAAGTAACCTGACTTAATTTTAACTGAATTATTAACTTGAAATACCGGATAGATACCCAAATCGATATTGCTTGATTCCCAAAATGACCAAACCAAAATAATTTTTTATCCAAAAAAATGTTGGGGAAAAAATATTGCAGTAGAAAATTAAAAACTGAAACCGCTAGAAGGAGGGGTCGAACCTCCGACCTTGTGGTTAACAGCCACACGCTCTAACCAACTGAGCTATTCCAGCTTTTGATATTTCATTATTTGATAATAACTTATCAGTGTATACAATACGGAGTAAGTAAATTGCAAGTAAAGCATACTTCGCAAATTTGGATGTTCTATCAATGAGTGGTACTCCATTTTAATTAAATTGTGCAATTATTTTTAAATTGAGCATTAAATTAAATATCTATCAATTGAATATTGTGTCATTGTGTGTGACAATGTATATGCAATTGCTTATACTACAATTTCTGTCTTAGAATCTGTTAAAGTTCATTTTAATTAAAGAAATAGTGCAATTTTGTCAAAAAAATAAATAAACGGAATACTCGGTATCAGATATCTAAAACTTGTATATTGTGTGTAAATTTGTATATGCAGTTGTTTATACGACAACTTCGGTCTTAGAATCTGGTAAGCATGCACAAGAGCAAATATCGGCAGGTATATTTGCTCGTGCTATGAAAAGTTGTAAGGACATGAAGGTGAGTACAAAATTAAGTAATTGTGGAGTATGTGCTCTTAAATTAATATGGTATTATCAATGATAACACTAACTTGACAAATTAATTTTGGATTTGCAATGTTAAACATAGATTAAAGCAGAAGCATTGACTATGCGCGGCGAACCAAAGGAGGTACTTTGTCAAGTTGCTGAGCAGAAACAAGTTGATCTTTTGGTTGTGGGTAGTCGCGGTCTTGGCGTGCTGAAAAGGTGAATATATAACTATACTTTATAAGCTAAACGTTACTTATTGTCGTGGCTTTTTGTTGGCGAAAATAATTAGAATAGTTAATTTAAGTGACCTCAATTAAAGTCTTAGAGGATGACACTCCAGACCTTGGGTTGTATATTCTTACATTCCATTACCTTTTGTAGTTCTCTCAGTGCTACATAATGTATTACTTGTGTAAAGATAGATTAATAAGCTTAGTGAAAAATATTTAGTTGAATGCAAATTACATAGAATTGATTGAAAATTAACAACATTTTAAGTTTTCTACTATTAGAAAAGTTATATAGTACTCCTTTTGTCTCTAGAAGTTCACGTTGTTTTGACATTTTTATGAGATGAATCAGATACTCATCGTTCAAACAAGAAAAACTTTCAAAGGTGGATATAGATTTAGGAGTAAAATTTAGTTTGCTATTATGTGACTATAGCATAATTATGATTTGATTTATTTATTTGTTGCGAAAATAATTCTGATCTGTAATACATAATGATGTACCTACAGGGCCTTCCTGGGAAGCGTTAGTGATTATTGTATGCACCATGCACATTGCCCTGTGTTGATTGTAAAGCCGCCTAAGGAGTTAAATAACAATGAAGAAGTGCCCCAAAAAACAGCCTAAGACGAGGAAGAACTCTAATTTACAAGAAATATAGTTATTGCTTGTATCTTTTCTTGAATATGTAAGTAATGGCTAGTATGACTACAAGAGGACAGTGTCTGATACTCTGAATTGCGTGTGTAGTTTTTTTCCATTGTTGGATCTTGGATGGATATAGGCTACAAGTCATATGACATTTTATATAATACTTACATATTTATAGTGGTTTTCATACCAATTCAAAATAATTATATAGGGTTGTTTTCATACCAAAAGTAATATATATATAGGGTTGTTTATCATACACAAATTAAACTTTTTTGCTTTTTTCTTTTTTTTTTTTTTTTTTTTTTTTTTTTTTTTGTGGGGAAGAATTGTGGTTTGGTATTAAAAAGGGTGTGATTTGAGATTGTTCAATGTGTATTGAAATGAGCTTTATTACGTGAGTTAAGTAAGTTAAATAAAGGGTCACAAAAATTAGATGATTTGTGGTGCGTTCTTTTTACCTAAATTTTTTTTTTATAAATTTAATTTATGAAACAATTGAGAGAAAAAAAATATAATAAAGGGAGCATATAACAAAAATTATCATACATAAGGTTGTACGATGCATGACTTAGTTATTTGGAGTTTTTTTTGGTTCGTCTTAACAAATGATTTTAGGTAAACTTTTGGGTAGAACGGACTCACCGTGAGTCTGGACTTGAGAATCCAAATGCTACACCAAACATCACAAGAATTCAAATGCTACACCACACATCACAGCCCCGCATCTCCTGTCAACTGCACTCTCCTCCTCATCTTCACTCAGATTCAGCGCTCTCACCCCATTCTCAGCAGCAACAGTAGAGTAATGATGACCGTTGCTTAAGCTGTGGTGTTGATTAACCGCGTCAGTCGGATCATGAAATCCGTTGATATTCGGATTATTTACATCGTCGTCTTCGTTGCCGTCAATTGAAGAGATCGGTTGGTAGTAATCGGTGAATTCGTCGGAGTTTGTACTTTTGAATATGAGCATTGAAATCCTTGCAAACGCCATTAAATAAAGCTTGAGTTGACCTAGGATTACTCCAACAGGTTCTGCTGCCATTGTTGGAGAATCAGAAAGCTTTGGGTTTGAATACGAGCTTCGAGTTCGTTTCCTGCTTTGCTTTTGTTGCCGCCATTGTTGGAGAATCAAAAAGAAGAGAAAGAGAGAGGTGTTTATTGGAGGAAGAGAGGAGAAGGTGGTGGTGGTGGTGTGAAATGGGTGGTTGAGAAGAGAGAAAATGAGAGGAGAGTGTGGAGGAAGTGGAGAGTAGTGGATTATAAATAAGCCTCAAAAATATTAATATCATATTAGATTACTGCTGTCAAATATTAGAATATTATTGTCATAAATAAAATATTATTGTCATATATTATAATATTATTGTCATATATTAAAATATTAGATTATTAGATAATTAATGTCAGATATTAGATTATTAATGTCATATATTTGAATATTATTGTCATAAATTAGAATATTATTGTTATATATTAGAACATTATTGCCACACGTATTGGACTCACGGTGAGTCCGATATCACGCACAACGTTTCCATGATTTTAATGAGTAATTAGATAATAAATGGTGAAAGATGTGCATTGACAAAAAAATGGTATGGTAATTTATTTATGGTTTTCAAGATAGTAGTTATGATTTTGGATTAACAAATTGGTTTGGTTGATATGTATTTATCCTGGGTTATTATTAGAGGTGTCAATTCAATGATCGGATCGGGTTCGATAAGGTTGGGTCAGATCAGGTCTATTTTCAAAGTTGAATCATGTTGAACTATTATGTCCACGCGAGTCGAAATTTGAATCGGAAATGATACCATCAGGGTTGTGGTGGATAGACTTACCAAATCGGCAGTGTTTATACCAATGAAGAAGACTTGGAATATGGAACAACTTGCAAAGGCTTACATCAAAAATGTTGTGAGACTACATGGAGTTCCTAAGGATATCGTTTCTGATAGGGATTCCAGGTTTCTTTCGAAATTCTGGAAAAGTGTTTAGGAAAACTTTGGTACAACATTGAAGATGAGTACAACATTCCATCCTGCAACGGATGGACAATCTGAGAGAACCATCCAAACCTTGGAATTACCAAGGAGGATGGGAAGATAGTTTAGACTTGGTAGAATTCTCTTACAATGATAATTACCATGCAAGCATTAGCATGACACCATTTGAGGCCTTGTATGGAAGGAAGTGTAGAAGTCCACTATGTTGGAGTGACATTAGTGAGACAATAATTCTAGGTCCTCAATTGATAGAAGAAACCACGAAGCAAGTGAGAGAAATCCAAGCTAAGATTCAAGTTGCTCAAGGTAGGCAAAAGAGTTACATAGATTTGAAGCGTAAGGAAGAGGAATTTCAAGTTGGTGATAAGGTATTGCTTAAGGTTTTACCAATGAAAGGAGTTATGAGATTTGGAAAGAAAGGGAAATTGAGTCCAAAGTACATTGGACCATATGAGATTTTGCAAAGGATAGGTAAAGTTGCTTATAGATTGGCATTGTCTATGGACTTTAGTAAGGTACATGATGTGTTTCACGTTTCTCAGTTGAGAAGGTACATCCCAGACAAGTTGCATGTTTTACAACCTGAAACCATAGAACTAAAGCCTAACCTATGAGGAGGACCTGTAAAGATTCTTGACAGTAAAGTGCGTATGTAGTACACGCAAGAAGGATGTAAAGATAGTAAAGGTTTTGTGGTCGAATCAAGAAACTGAAAAAGCGACATGGGAAGCTGAGAATGAAATGAGAAAGAAGTGCCCAGAATTGTTTGAGGTTAGTTGAGTTACGGGGTCGTAACTCGTTTTCTATAAGGGGGGTAAAATGCGGTAGAATTTGGCGCTTTTTACCTTCATTTCAAGAATTTTTGTGCAGTTTTAGTGTATTTTGCACAATTTTATGCAAAGTTTAGAAAGAAAGAGAACAAGGAAGGTTACAAAATGTACAACAACTATAAGTATTAAGAAAAAAATTTACCAAGTGGGTGAAAAATTGCAATTTTAAACAAGTTTTGAACAAAGTTTTATAATTTTCGTGCTCAAGTTTCGAGAACGAAACTTCTTTTAAGGGGGGTAGACTGTAATACTCCGTATATTTATAATACTTTATATATATAAATTATTTATTTTATTTATAAATTAAATTGATTCATTTCATTTTAAAGAATTAATTATTTAAATATAAAATAAGTGTGTATAAAATAATATGAATCATTAATTGAGGCAATAAAGTGTTTTTAAATTGAGTCAACATCAATTAAATTATTGGATCAACTTGTTGGAAATTAAAGAACACTTAAGAGTCCAACAATTTAGCCTCAAAGAAGAAGTTAAGGGGGAGTAGAATTAGTAATGGCAGTTTTGGTAAATAAGTGTTTTTGTTTTAAAAGAGGATATAAATAGCCCAAAACCCAAGAATTTCACACTCTAAAATCATATTGTCAAATTTCACAAAAAAACCCCAAAAGTTTTCCTCTTATTTTCTCTCTTCTTTTTCCTCCCTTTTCTCCTCACTTCCTCACGCCTCTCTCCTCCTCACCACCGGTGCCACCACCGACCATCGGCGATCAGTAGCTGCTGCTGCCGGCCACCATCCCTCCTTCTCTCGCTCTCCTCTTCACGGTTTTGGTATTTAAAAAGAAAAAAAAAACAACTCTCTTTACTCCTAATTTATTTCTAGCTTGTTTTAATTAATTTAAAGCATGATTTTGATTATGTTTTGATGTTGATTTTGGGTATTTGATGTTATTAATTTATTCCTATAAATTTCAGATTTTAATTTAATCAAAAACCCCCAATTTACAAACCCTAGAATTTGGGTATTTAATGTTTATGGTTAGGGTTTGATCTTAGGTTGTTAATTAATGATTTAAACATGTTTCTAATTAATTTTAAGCCCTCAATTAATGCTGGATTTTAATTATACACACTACTTTTTAATTATTATGTTAGGGTTTGATTACCCATAAAAAGAAAAAGGTTTTTGATGATTTAAATATGATTTCCTAGTCTATTAGTGATGTTTTATACAAAATAAACATGCCGGAATTTTATATAAGTCTTGAAAACTAAGTCTTTTTCAAAGGACTTATAGTACCCAATTAAAGAAAAGCTTTTAAGGCTTTTAAACCATTAAATTGGGTTAATTAGTAAGGTTTAAAGTGTATTATAGTTGCTGAAAATTTGTCGGAATGGTGGATTAATTATAGCTATGTATTTTTATTTGAAGGAAGCTTTGAGCTAGGTGATTTCTAGCGAGTGTGGCCGAGTTTAGGCACTATTCAAGATACTTATGCACATAAGAATATTTGTGTATGCGTAGTATCGTGCTAGGTTTGTAAAGTATGTTTCAAGTGATGAAATAGTAGCATATTTGGTTGATTATATGCTTGGATTGAATGTTGGTTGATCATGAATTATTATGCAAGCATGTGAATATGTTATTTGAGGCATGATACAACTTGAATATGTATGAATCATGGAAGTATGTTTTATTTTCAAGTATCAAGAAAGCGTAAATTTAATAAGCAAGGCTTATGTATACTTAAAAGAGCTAAAGTTAGAATTATTGAGCATGATTCATGATTTTATTACTCGCCCATTTATTATTGGTGTTGAGTCAAGAAGTTAGTTTAATTATTTACTTACTCGTGTAAGTTGAGAATAAGTCATTGAAGTTTAGTAGTGCATCTTATGCACCAAGGTAGTAATAGTGCAATTTTGTGCACAAAACTAGGCAAGGAGCCTTAATTAAAATAAATAGTATGTGCTCACTACTTAATTCAAGAATGAAATGGAAGTATATGTTGATTGTTCTTGTGTTTGTTCTTGATTAATTGGTTGGAGTCATCACAAGTTAAATTGGTAAATCACGTAAAGTGTAAAAGGATACACACCAAAACTCTTGGAACACATACACCTTGAGTATGAACGCATGGGGGGGGGGAGTTATGTGACTTTAAATTTGATCATAGCTTCTACAGGAGTACAGGATGCTGTACTTTCTTTTATTATTAATGCGGTGGAATTCCGTCACAAGGAGACATAGTAGGTGCCCATTGGGGCAGCTCCCTAATTGGAAGCTCAATATGTCAATGGGCTATTTTTTAAGGAAGGAAACCCGTTCGATGCGTAATCCAAAACCATTGTTTGATAATTAATATTGTTGTATGAGTCAAAAGTAAGTTGACTTGATTGTATGGCAAGCATGTTTTAATTATTTATTGTTAGGATATTCATGTTAGTGTGGTGCATATGTACTCAGTTTTTGCTGATTCGTACTTTTGTGTTTGTGTTTGACTTTCTTTTGGATTGGCCCTACTATGACCCATTTATATAGTGAGTAGAGGGGTTGAAATAAAGAGAAAATGACAGGTACTTGAAGCATGAAGAGCATGAAGGGAATGAGTGCAGAAAGTTACTTGTTATGCGTGCTTCCTTAATTTTATATTTTAAATTGTTGATTTATTAATTGTGGACTAACATTGCTATGTTTTATTTTTAAGTTGGTTTTTGAAGGGTCATGTTTATATTGGTTCCAACTTGTGAACGTTTTATTTTGCTTTTGTTTTGAGGTTGTGAACTCAAGTTTTTTTTGAAAAGTTAGTTTTAATTTTAGACTTCCGCTATGTGACTTTGAAAATAGCCTTAAACATTATCACGGTGGCAGTAATATTTTGGTTGTTTCCTAAAATGAGTTTTATTTAGATTAGAAAGAGTATTTTAAAAGGAGGAAATTTCCAAGATATTACAAGGATTCTTTTAGAAGCTAAGCCTCTAGAAGGTTCTAATTTATCTTTTAAAGACCAAAGAGTTCGAAATCGAATAAAACTTCACTTTTTGATAACTATTCGGATACGAAGACGTCCGGATATCTTCCGGAAATACAATTCCATTAGAAGTCAAACTTTGTACGGCTTTGCTATCCTTTAGAACCAGCGCGCGACGCCAGAACCATCGCACAGCGACAACCCTGGTGCGACGCGTTAGCTCCAAGTGCGGCGCGACAACCCTAGCGCGTCGCGTCAAAAATCGTTCTATTTTATTTGAAACTTCTGATCTTTGATCATCGTCTAGACTCTTTTTTCCCCCTATAAATAGAGGTCATTTTCTCCGTTTTGAGATCATCAACAATCATCAACAACCATCATCAATAGTCATCATAATTCTCGAAGTTCTTAAATACCCATGTTCTTAGCCTTATCCTAAACACATTCTTGATATTCTCCCAAATCAGTCATAATACCTCATTTGGGAAATTCGAATACTCCAAGCCATACTCAACGTTGCCTTCGACCTCGACATGAAAGGTTGAAAATTCTGAGGGTTTGGTCCCAAATCTCTATCTCAATTCATATTTGATTTATTTACTTTATTGATTTAACTTTCTTGAAGTTTACTAACGTGTGTATTGTTTTAATAGCAAGAAGGTTGAGGCATCAAAGTGAGTAATTCAATTACCCTTTATTCTTTTGATTTTGGAGTAGAAATCATGTTTATAATGTTACTTTAATTCCTACTATCATGTTTAGGATGTTACTTCAATTCCTAGTACCATGTTTAGGATGTTATTTTGATTTCTAGTATCATGTATAGGATAATGCGTTGATTTTGTTATTAGTGACATGCTATGAGTTGTTATTAATCCGTTTAGTTTCATGCCTAGGATCTTACTAATAACAATGTTTTGATGATATTGTTATGATGATGATTTTTGTATTAATCATATGTTGCTTGATTATTTATGGTTTATTGCTATTGCTTGATCACGCCCCTTTTTGCAGGTTTAAAGGGAATTCGTACTTGAAATTACGCCTAATAAGATAATTAATAATTGGATTTAGGTTCAATATGATTTTAACTCAAGTGATCACCAATAATAGATTTGATTGTGCATTAATAATCAACTAACATAGATTAAACAGGTTTAGGGTTAATTTAATTTATGTATGTTGATCAAAAAGCGCACATGAATATCAATAAGAATCAAGTAGCGGCTTATTTAGGGCGGGTTTAACCTCTTTAGGTTGGATTCGTACCATCATCTCCGAACATCCAGTCATGGTTCCAGACCACTATGGAGTTAGCAATCTCTGTGATTGTGAATGGGGTGTAACCTTCATAATTATGAACGGTTTACAAGTTCCTAAAACTTGTTGACGACTCTTTTTCTCTAGCTTTTTTTCCTTGGAGTGCCGCCATGCTTAAAAGCATGACCCCACATGTAGGGCGGAGGTGGAAAAATTCCCTACAAGGTTGATGGCAACTTTTTGGTAGTGTGTCGATTATTCCGCGAATTATACCTCATGACTAATCCAATAAAATGAGTACTTCCTCTATTTATTTTAAATCAAACGTTTGAGATTTTGCAGTATTCACACTCAATAAGTCTTGTGTAAGGCAGGTGTACGTGAATTTTATTGTTAGACGATCAATTTAAGGGTAACTTTAACTATTTTTAAGGTATCTTTAACCCCTTAAAGGATAAATTTTAATTTGTTGTTGGTTTGAATTTTATTTCAATGTGTAATTTCTTATAGATTTATGATTACATACTATAAAGACTAATATGATTAATCTAATAAATTATAAGTTTTTTTGTAAGATAAAATTTATTATTAGAAAAATAATAACTTTTGTAGGATAACTTTAAATACTTTTAAGATAACTTTAACCTTTCTTACAATAAATTAACATACACCTATTTTTTTGGAGAATTTGTGCATTTAACCACCTATTATGATTTATACGTTAGAATAATATAGTGCCTGGTTAAATTTATCTTAGTTTGTACTGATGCATAATTAAAGATATTAGTGATATAATGATAAGCGTGAAAATCTCAACGTTACAAGGAAAAAAGAGGATAAAATATTACGGAATAACATTTGTATTTTATACTCACTTCGTTTCAAAACAATGATACACTTTTCTCTTATGGACAATTTGCAATTTTTTTTTTTATGTAAAACTACATATTATTTATAAAGTAAAATTGAATTGGGTTTAGTTCAAGCCAAATCAAACTAGAGTCGTCAGTGGAAGTTATGAGTCAAATTAAGCCTAAATGACGGATATAAAATTTTAGTTTTTGAGACCGGTAAACAATAACCAAACAAGTGGAGTATCAAAAGAACAGTAAAATTTAAAATGTCTACCGAAAATAGAGTAGAAGCAAAAAGTGGTGCTAATTTACCTGAGATTGAGGTATTTCCAAACGTCGCTGCGATGCTAGAAGCTAATGCCATTTTCATAGAGAGAACAAACTCGTTCAACTTTAAGGAAAACATTGATACTGCAGATTCTCGAACCCTACCTCAATCAATCGTAAGCTCCCACTAATTTATTTTCTTGCTTTTCAAGTTTTTTATTTTATTCAATTGATTGTTATTTAGGCTTGTGTTATTGATATTCAGTGTTCGTTGAAAACCTTTGAATTCAGTATCCTTTTCTAGCTTTTTAATCCGAATTACATTATAAATTTAATACCCTTTTTTACATGTTAGGTTTCCATTGATGTATCTAATAAATTTATTGCCAATTTCAAATGTTATCGTATTAGCTTTTTAATTTAGGTTTGCTTTTTTAGGGTTTGATCGTATTACCGGTTTGTAACTATTGAAGTCGAATCACGAGCTTATTAAGAAGTGAATTCAATGGTGGGTAACAATTGGTATTGTGGGTGTAGTTGAAATAGCTGAAGTTTGGGATATTTGATCAATTTGTAGAAACTCGACTACACCCTATTATGGTCAACTGTTTTTGTATAAGGTGTTTGAAATTTGAAGTAGGATTAGTAAATGGGAAGTTGAATTTAGGAATCAAGAAAGCTATATGGAATGAGAGTCTTTCATATAACCAAAACTTTAGAATGTGTTTAGCTTCATGGTAACGGTTTTGGGGGTTTCTTCTTGGATTGTTGATCTCGGTAATTATGTATGAAAGTATAAAGCAAGACTATAGAAGAGAAAATTTTGGGGGAAAAGGGGGAAGGGGGTTTGGAAAATGAATAAGGAAGGAAAAATGAGGGGTTTTGCGAAGGAGTATGTCAAAGTTTAGTTGAAAGAAACACGTGCTAATAATTTGGGGAAGCATAAATGCAAGCACACAAAATAATATGGGATAAATGATTGGACAAAGTATTTTCTTTTCCTTGGACTAGTTGGGTTATATTAAATCATGCATCGTGCTAGGTTGTTTCTTCAAGAGATGGTGATTTAGAGTAAGTATAATTGAAAGTTGTATTGTTGCCATGGTAAAGAAGGCATTGACAAGATAGGTTTTTGTAAGTTCTACTTAATTATTGTTTTCAGATTTTTTGTCTATTCATACGGACGATATGGTGTTTGCCCTAAGAAAGTATCTTCTATTCACTTCCATTGCCATTGTGTTGCAATGAGTAGCACAAGCAACTTATTATCCTATTTTTCGGTTGTCTTATCATTTATACAGTGCCAGCTGTAGATTGCTGACATTCTAGGATTTCATGGTAATTTTTTACATTCATTTTTCGTCAATAGCTGCTCTTTGTTCTACCATATATGAGCTCCATTTTGGATTATAGAAAACCACTCGGCATTTACTTTACTCAGTGAATTGCCCAACGTAGCTTTACAAAATTCTGCTAGGTTACCCTGAACTATGTCTGTTGGACTCAGTGAACTTGTTTATTCTGGTTTAGTGAAATACCCAATTATTTATTTCTGGTTGAGCTATGGTCACTCACATGTGACACAAATACCTTAGCAGTCTAGTCATACTATGTCAACAAAGTAGAATATAAATTAGGAATTTTTTCTGGGCCATATTACAATTTTACAGCAAATATTAAAGTCTATTGTTGAGAACTGAGGATGCTGGCATATGAAAATCCATTTCATATGGGTAGCACAATTTAAGTCCTTGGTTGATTTTAAAGTTGATAGTGGTTCAAGAGTTCTATTTTCCCACCAAAAGCCCAAATTCCTGATTTGTTCAGATTCTCCCTATTTAAAGAGGTCATTATTTTTGAGGTGTTAGTATGGAAATGTAACCAGCAGCATTGAATCGTTAACTTTTACTAGACTTCCTCATGTAGAATTTACACATCATCTTTATTCTTTATTCTTTGGGTTTCGCTGTGGCCTTTATCTTAAACCTTGTTTGAGTTGAGCTGGGTCGATCCTTGTTCTGTGAGAGATGCTCTTGTTTCCTACTTTCCTTATTAAGGACTGAAAAAGGTTGATTTGTCGAAGTGTGAGAGATTATTCTGTTGGAGATCTGGTGGTGCAATTTGAAAGAAAGGAGCCAGCAGATTTTTGAGGGTTTAGCTTCAACTCATTTAGGTTTCATGAATGTTTGAGGCTTTTGTATGGCTAAATTCGAATTTTAGTTTCTGAGTGTCACTTGACTTTTCTTGATTTTTGCAAACAAATTGCTTTATGATAGCTTAATGGCATGAGCCTTATTTTCCTTAGTCCTCCTTTTGTACATTGGTGACATCTTCTTGGTGTCTTTCTAATATAAAAATTTGTTAGTCATCAAATGTAGTTTAAAGTCTGTTAGCATTTCAGGTGTGTCACTTAAGTTTTTGGAAAAAGTTGGTGATTAAGGTAAATAGAAACAGAAGGTGGTGTAGTAAAATGTATCATTGTTTCCTGGATTTACCATTGTCCTATAACTGTAATTTATATCAAATTTTCCTTGCTTCCTTTGCCTCTAAGAAGAATACATGTAGGTCATCTAAGTCAATATTTTGCAGCTATTCTTGGGGATATTGTTCGGGTGCTTCATTAAAATTAGATGCTATTTATTTATTTATTGTTCCAGTTCATTAGAACATATTTAAAATGAATTACAAAACTATGAAATTCCCTTTTGTTGTCGAACAGATGCAGATTTAGGCCCTGTTTGGTAATTAGCTGGTAGCGAATATAGCCGATTGTATTAATTTATTTGACTAGCTGATTATTTTAGCTTGTTTGACTAGCTGGTTATGAATAACTGATTGTGTAAAAGTGCTTGATAAATAGTTGTTAATTGTTAGCTGTTTTAGTGTATTTAATAGCCAAAAAGCTAATTATTCAATAAGCTAATTTGAAAAAGCTCTTATAATGAGCTTTCTTTAAAAGCTCTTTTAATAAGCTATTTACCAAACACCCAAATTAACTTTTTTGATTGGTCAAACCTCTAATATGGCAAAATAAGCTAAAAGCTCTCTGATAAGCTCTCTACCAAACAAGGCCTTAATCCCCTGGCTTGAACCTTTTCTTTTCCAGATCCAGTCTAAATACTTCATCTGTTTTTTTTCCCCTTATAATTATTGCAATGTTTACCCTTTTTTGGATGGTTCAAATTAATTGCAACATTAACTTATTTACCTGATAATTTTGCATGTGGGTTTTACTGTAGTCCAATTAAGTTTACCCAACTTTAAATCCCATCAGCCAATCCAAAATCGAAGTCCACTTATTACAGCTTGATCAGGCCTTTTCCCAAGTGAATAGAAACACCTATATTTGGATAAACAAAGAAAAAAAAAAAAAACAAAAAAAATTGTAAAAAGCCCAAATACATTATCATTATGGTTTAAAACAAATGATATGTAATCTAAAATTTTGGAATTTTTAGTTTGGTGGTTGGACAATGTGTTTTGACGTTTGAGTCTAAAATTAAATCTGCATTTTGTTGAAATTCTGTTAGTGGGTAACTTGGACTGAAACAGTAGATTTTGAACTTTGTTTAAAACACTTGCTCCCATAGCTGTTGTAACCTTGGAAAGATATATAATATTGACGACAATATCCTAAAACTCCCTCCAATTCTGAAACACAATGTTTACTACTAATGCATTGAAGCATTGCATACTTCGTGTCATTAAGGTTAATGGATTTGAACCACAACAAGAACTGGCGCAACCAGAAGTATCTGTGGATCCCACTCTACCAAATCCTATACAACCCGATTCTAAATCAGGCATCATAGAAGAGAATGTTGTCCTTCGAAAGCTTCTTGTAAGTTTAAAAGGCAATTATTATACTTAAAATGCTAGGAAAATTGGCTTAAAATAATACCAACTAGTAACGGTGTGTGCAAAATAATACAACCTTTTGTACTATATTTGCAAAATGGTACGCTACCACCAAAGAAGACATTTTAAGGAATATTTCATTCATATCCAATAAGACCATCTCCAATAGTGAGACTTTAATGAGTGTTTTTTAGGAGAGAGTATTTTTTGCAAAGGATACCAATAAGTTGGTATCTAAACTTAGCAACTCTAAAAGAAAGTTGCTAAGTTTAGATACTCAACTTTGAGTCTCATTTGACAAAAAGTGTGGGCCCTTTATTACTATTATAATATATTTGTAATTTATTTAAGTTTTTTTTTTTAAAAAAAATTATAATATGGATTTGGTGGGCCATAAATTCAAAGTGACATTAGTATACTTTAGAAAGCCTCACCATTGGGAAATTAGACTTCATATGAGTTGCTAATTTGATAAGTGGATTGGGTACTACCATTGGAGGTAAAAAACAACTCATTTTGTATTTCAATACTCAAAATTGAGTCTCACCAATGGAGATGATCTTATATTATTTTTATTATTATTTTTTAATATTAAAGTATTTGTGTTCAAAATACATTTTATGTTAATAATTTCTTCCTACCCAAATTAATAATACTCCGCCTCTTTGTTAGGCTAGTAAATTAATTTCTCTAAAGAAATTTTTTTTTTACTATCAAACAAAAGTAAATAGGGTATTTAAATGCATATTATATTGATATAATTAGTTTCAAAAATGTATTAAAAACCAAAATTAACATAATATTTCCTTTATTATATATACTTACAACACACCTTTTGACATGCTAAGCTATTTGAAAAAATGATTAGACTATGTAATTGTAGCAACTTAACACTTTCTTCTTCATTTTTTAAACATGACACTTTCTTCTTATTGGTGGTAAAATTTTGTTGATTAATTTGTCCGTTTATCAAGTCTAATATCTCTCTTAAAATGTGTGTCATGTCAAAATAGTGTGTTATTGTAAATAAAAATCTAGGAATTATGTATTTTGGAAAAAAATTAATAATTAATAGTATAAAAATAATATAATAATAAATATGGACGAAATATTCCTCGAGATACCTTCTCCGATAGCTCGCGTACCATTTTGCACATATATTACAAAAGGTGGTACCGTTGAAAGCAAATAATTGAGGTCGTATTATTTTGCACCCACCACTAATAGTTGGGATTATTTTAAGCCAATTTTCCTTATTGTTATTATATTATATATGGCAACTTTTGACTTGTTTAATGAAATTAGCGCAAAAGGAGATATTTTGACTGCAGAGATGGAAGCTCATATATAAAAGCGCATGCAGTCAACTCTTCTGCACAGAAGTTAGAGTCACCATGTTATGTTTGTGGACAATTTCAGCATACTGGGAAGAGATGTCCTAAGGTGGTGTATAAATCTTATTATAGAACTATTAGGTTGGCCATAAGCTTTTGGATAATACTTTTGACTACATTACTACTTTATTTCTAAACCATGGGTGTTTATCCCACTATGTTTATACTTGTAATTATCATTCTTTGTTAAATGACTGTATGCTAAGCCCTGATGGAAAATAGACCCTCCTCCCCCCAATTAAAAAGCACTCTTTGAACGGTCATTACTCATAACTTTGTGTTTACTTCTTTATAAAATGAATTGAATATTTGATTACTGAGGGTATTAAAAGTACGCGATCAATTATATTGTCCTATTAAATGAGTCTAGTGCTTAAGTTGATTCATCAACATTTGCTTGAAACTTTTTCTTTGCTAAACTGAATATCACTTCCAGCGTCGTATTTGCTCTACTTGCAAAAAAAGAGGCCACATTGCTGTAGATTGTCCAGTGAACAACAATGAATGTAATATTTGTTTAAGATGTGGGGTATCCGGGCATGAACTCTTTTCATGCAATGTCGAATATTCTCCTGATGATCTTGAGGTGAGTTTGACTAAACAATAGTTTTTTTTTTTTTTTATTTATTTATTTTTTTTATTTCCTCCCTTATGAATATTATGATGAGGTTTCATTGTACTCGATAGTTGATACTAGTTATTTTGCCATGCTTCACTGCTGAGGTTAGCTTTTCCATGACAGAATGTACAGTGTTATGTTTGCAATGAACATGGACACCTTTGCTGTGGTAATTATTCCGACATAAGCATAGCAACTACCTCTTGTTATAATTGTGGCATATCTGGACATTCGGGTTTGGTAAGTCACCTCTAACCTTTCAGTATATAATTAGTGTATATCTTCTGCAATAGTGCAAGACAGTGAGGCAAATGGCTGACCAAAGTTTTAATTTGTGAAGCAATGCCCAAAACCGAATCTGGATAAGTCTGGTTCGTGTCCTCCTCCTATATGCTACAAATGTGGAGACGGTGACCATGTTGCACGAAGATGCCCAAAAGATGTCGGGCTGTCAGCACGCAATAAACGTCGACAGGTGGGTTACTCAGTTACTGGCCTTGCTGCTGAATGTAGTCTCAAGTTCTGTGTCAACCCACCCCACCCCACCCCCAAATGGGAGAAATGGCAAAGGGGATTTATGTTAATAATATAATTTTATATATAAGCCTTTGTTTTCTAAAAACAAAAGCAAAGGGGGGATATCAGAAAAATCAGGTAGAAGCTTATTCGTAACTTGACCAATGCAACAAACTGTTTTCTGGCTTTGATGTTTGCAGGCTTCTGAGTTAGATTTGGTATTGGATGTAGATGGAAGCCAAAGAACAGCTAGGAGAAGCAAGACATATAAGCACAGTAGAGTTAAGAAACAAAAGATGAAAAGGTTACTAGAGTACATGACTGTATAGTATACATTATTTCCATACAACTGTGTGAGCCTGGGGAGTTTCAGTAATTTTGCAGGTTGCGAAACCCCTTTTAAGTGGTAGTATTTCCTCCCTGCAAATTTGTATTATATTGTTCTTCTTGCTGTAACATTTATTGATTATTTCCCTCTAAAAAATAAATTCGATTGGTTTCTAACGGAGTTAAGAGTTAAATTACATCCACATTTAAATTAGTCCTCTCTTTATTGTTATCTTAGAGTTGATTATATACAAAATTTGTGGCCTTTCTTCTACATAATTTTTTTTGCCAGTGCCAAACTTCTCCTTTCTTCTACATGAACAACTAAAAACAATGTCAAATTCCTTCAGAAGTCAGTTATCCCACAACTTTTTGGAGAGAAGCAATAGCAATATGCACGAAAGGATAGGAGATGTGGAGGCCACCATTATATGATTGTGAATGAAAAAAGACACTATTTTTATGGATTAAGATTTAAGATGTTACTTCTTATATACGTATAATCTCTCTGAAAGATTAGATTAGTCAAGCAAACAGTATCTTGACAGAGAATATAAGGATTAGTCGTAAAGGCTTGATACTTGATAGCATCCTGTTTTTGGTAGCATAGCTTCTAATAAACATTGCCTCACGCCCTCGCCATTAAAGATCTTATAATTATATTTGGAACGACAAGCTCAGTATAACCAAACTTTCATGCCATATTTGATTTTGTTTCTTGAGTCCCAAAGAAAGAACAAGGAGACTCCTCAAAGATCATGATAATCTCAGCAACAGGAAAAAGTATAACAGTAGATTATTCAACATACTAGCTCAATCCCATGGTGATTGATTATATCATTCTCGGTATAAAAGCAAAATGCAGTCTGTGACATTTGAGTAAGAAATCCAAGAAGTTGCAGAAGATTCTTCATACATACAAACCAGAAAATTAGCATACTCACCATTAATTTATGTGCCTAAGTGGCTTGATTTTTTTTTTTTTTTTTTTTTTTTTTTTTTTTTTTTGAGAATAAAGTGGCTTGATTGAACAAATAGAATCAGTTAATTCATAATTAACAGAAAGCTTGTGCTTTTCCGATGCCAAAAAAAAAAAAAAAACCCACAAACTATACATATGCCCGCCACACTGAAGTTCCAGTATACAAAATTCTGATTAAAGGCATCGGTCTTTGAGGAAGTTAACCTATGAGTGAATGCATTATCCCTGTCATCACAACATTGCAAGAATCATCAAAAAAGATAGCAATCACCTAGCAAACTAGACTAACAGTCCTATCGTGTGATTTGTGAATAGTAAGCAAAGGAACTTTCACTTTGAATTTATACCTGTTGTGTCATCAAAATTTCGACAGCTACATCCAAATCTCCGTCAGCTGCAGCTAGGGCGACTTCAACTTGCGTCTGAAACAACAGGGTTTATTGTTAGCATTAACATAATCATTTCATCTATGTATGTGCTTGTATGCTTCAGTGAGTTAGAACAGTGATTTTGAACGACAGGTAAACCAATTCCTCTAAGCCACTCAACAAGAATAGAAATGATTTTACCTTATCGAATCCCATTGAGACAAGCTTTTGGATGTCTTCTTCAGATACAACAAAAGCCTGCAACAAAAGATGATTTTAGTGGAAAAAACAAATATCGGATCCAAGTCTAATGTCACAGACAAACCTGTTGCTGCTGCGGAGAATTGATTGGCTCTGTGCCACTATTTAGAGGCAGCCTGAAATCCCATGAAAAATTTATGCAAGGAGTTATTTCTGGTCCTCTATGCAAATCACTTAAATTATTTTAGGACATTTTTATTATGTAACAGAAGAGAAGAAAAACAAGAACATTTTCCCTAGTTGTAAATTCCTTAACGTAGAAACAAACTAGAAAATAAGCAAAAGCATAATCAACAATTAATGTCTTTCAGTAGTTGGTACCAATGACTAGTCCATTCAACTAAACCTCAGCCAGACTTTGTTATTCCAGGGGAAAAAACAATCCTCACTTTAGTCACTCCTAAAAATCATAACTAGATTATAACAAGTACATGTGCAAAAAGAAGAAATAATACTGCAGTACCAAACATTAATCATCAAATTTCAAAGAGATGCAACGTGTAAACTTTGTGGTCAGGGCTTGGAGTCTACTGAACATTTATTCTTCAACTGTTCTTTTTCTGCTCAAGTTTGGCAGCAAGTGTTACATCTCTTCAGTTTTTCCAGGCAGCCAGAGGGGTTTGCTAAAGAGCTGGAGTGGGCTATTAAGTGCAGTAAGAGTGTTACAGTCCAGCATAAACTTTTTATGTGGAAAGCATTTATGCTATTTGGTTGTATAGGAATAATTTCATTTTCGGTAAGCTGAGTAAATCGACAGCTACTATTTTTCGTGATATTAGTATCAAGGTTGCTTGTAGGTGTTCTCATGAGCAACACAAATTTTTGTTAGACTTGTATTAAAAGTAGGTTGTTTGGGTGAGGTTCTGGAGGTTTGTGCCAGCCTCTGTGGTGTTGTGGTCTTTGTACTTTCCTTGGTGATTAATAAAATCTTTAATTAATTGCCAAAAAAAAAAAAAAAATCAAAGAGATAGGTGCAGTTACACCTTTCACCTCCTGAATTTATTGTTGTCATGTCTGGTCGACTGTTTGAGTTAGCATTGTCCAGAAGCCTGGTCTGCAAATTTAAATCAGAGGCTATGCCAGGAACCGTCTCACTTCTCGGAGCGCCAAGAGTCCTCCCCCTACCAGGAAAGCGGGTATCTTGTGTCGAGTCTGTTGACTGGACATTATGAACTATATTAGATGAATAACAAAATCGCACTGAAAAATGTTAAAACTCCAGAAAATTAGGTAAGATAGTACATGTTCCACATTAGCTAACATGTGTGAGGCAATAAGCAAAGCACAAAATTATTGAGGGGATTATGACTTGTAACTCACCCAAAAGACAAGGCTTTTTAAATAACATATCTGGTTGAAACTTAAAAAAGCACTAATATACTTTTAACACAAAAATTATCTGTCTTGAAAAGGGTGTTCTATGAAACAGGAGAGTCGAATGTACAAGGCATGAACTCTAAATTAGGTATGAATAGTGTACTATTTTGAAGAAGATAAGCAAGCATAAGATAGCTTGCCAAGATTATTGAGTCATAACGAAGGGCAGGCATAATCGGAAAATGATCCAGGACCAGTTATAGAACCGAAGTCCATCATAAAAGCTGAGAGAAGGTGATAACTCGGCAGATTAAAAAATCCTACATTCTTAGAACTCAAAGCTGCATTCTCATTTCCTACAAAACTATTTCGGCTGGCACAGGTTTTCAAATCGCTAAACAAATCACTGTGCTTGATTATAAGCAGTGGAGTTGATTGGTGAGACAAACAGGTCAAAATATAAGCAGCACACTCTTATTAAAGCTAACAGTAGATTGAGTTGGAATGAAATTATAGTCAATTAAAATAGTACTTACATAGTTTCAATTCCTAAATCCATCCCAACAGTTTTGACTTACTAAAACATGTTAAATCTTAAAATTTTCCAACGATCTTGAGTGCAGTCACAACTTGGGTCATCAAGAAGCACATGAGACAATATGATGTAAAGTACGACTGTACGAGCAACCCCACCCTTCAAAAAAAATATAAGAAAACTCTATTCTTTTCATCTTAATCAAATTAGCTTCACCAAAATATATTCAATCTGCAAAATTATTTATATACAACTTAATATCACCTTTTCAGAATTTAAGATTCAACAAAATCCCTTTCTAAAAAAGAAAATTCTCTTAAATAAGCTCAGTTTGTATTTTTAAAAAGTGTTAGTCAACTCATGATTGCAATTTTAACCCATTTGTAAAAAAGAAAAAAGCCCTTAAATAAGCTCAGCACGTAATTTGAAAAGTGTTTTGTCAACTCATGATTGCAATTTTAATAATTACTCTCTCTATCCCATGTAATCTTGCTTCTTTTCAGCACAAGGATTAGCAATATTTCAAAGAAAAAACAGTATAGTTCAGCAAAAAATCAGCTAAACTGAATAGAATATATTAGAATCAAATTTTAATGTCCCTAAAGAAAATGAAAATGAAATACTTCATTTGATACGTATACAAAAGTCTACAGATGAGTTTGTTTTGTCACAGTTGGAAAATCTTTGCATTCTAGATATTGTTTGATGACTAGTTATGGTTCACTGAAGGTTATCGTACTTGACATACTATATTTTTTTTTCCTTAACTTGTGAGCAGTAAGTTTCTGATCACTAAAAAATTTCTCATCTAACCAACGGGCCAATCTTAGTTACACAAGTCCACAACTGAAAAAGAAAATGTACGAGACAAGCCAAAAAGCCATAATTCTCAGAGGCCAAGCTCAAACCTGAGAAGAGGTATCCCTCTGTGGCATCAATGAAGACAGATGACTCCATAAGTTTGTAGTAGCTGAACCACTGCCCCAAATAAAATAGAAAAAAAAATATGCATATCAGGACCAAGGTTGAGAAGAGTCAATATAGCCAATTACACAACATACTACTTCACCTCGAAGTGGAGTTTGGATTAGTATATGAAGGTATGTATCCTGAAGGGTTCCCACCTGTGCATAAGATGAACTTGGGTCGCCTCACACAAGCCGACTGAATGGCATAAAGATACAGCTCAGTTTCCATAATTATAAAGATATTCTGGGATCAGTATTATTTTGGAAGATGAGTGAATGTGATAGATGAAATGAGAAATACAGATAATGTAATGATGTTCATTGTTCAAGCTTTCGAGAAGCTTGATTTTCTCCCAGATACAACTAAAATAAAAAGAAAAACTCAATCATATATTTTCCATATCTCTTCCTCTCACTGATGTCCCTTATTTCTAGAGCTAATTAACTTGCTTTCTCTCCAAACCAGCTATTTTGAACTTCCAATATAAGCCCTTCCCTATACCCAATGCAAAACAAAAGTATGACATATATTTTTCATCACAATTACATTAATTAAGCTAAAAAGCATATAGAATGATCCAATGATCATTATCCTCTAGATCCAATTTACTGGAAAGAAAGTCTTAAGTTAGTGACACTCAACATTAGCTATACTAAAAAAAAACTTTCAAATCATAAAAATTGAGGTCTAGATACCAGTAAATACTTCATGGAAAAATCTTTCACTTAAGTTCATAGTATGTGACAATGGGACA